CCTGTTGAGGACAGGCGACGTATGGACATGTGTATTCTTTCATTCTTACCAAAGAAGGAAAGTCAAGTCACCGCTGTGGGGAGCACTAATTCAGGCTTGGAGGAAGTTGCGGCCGGACGTCTAGGTGGAGTCGGTCACAAAAGGGGAAGTGCTCGCACAGCCAGTCTTTGAAAACCCGAGGATAAGAGGAGAGTATGATCGGTGGCTGGGTGCAGAACCCCAAAGCGTGGGAAGGAAGTGGATAGAGCGTGGGATACTGAGAATTAGGGACATTTGGAATGCCTTTTCAGAAGAAGCAACTACTTGCTCCGGATTTGATCGACCCACCGGGAACTTGGTACATCCAAGAAACTCAGCAGGAACGGAAACTGTGGGAGCTATTGGAAATTCAACCCGATGGGAAGATAATATTTCAAGGTTGGGAAATGAGTAGCAGTCAACGAATCACAGAAACCAAGGAGGGAAGCCCAGTGCTTGGATCTGCTCTATCCCAAGTACGGGTTATCACAGAAGGATCAAGCCCAAGGGTTCTGTTTGCTGGAGGAAAGCCGATCTCTGTAATAAGGACAGACCCAGGAATGTGGGAATGGCGGGCACAGGGCAGAGGTGGAAAGCGCATAGGTCTTCTAAACTACTCACAACAGCTGGGGTACAAAATGCGCATACCACTAAAGCAGCCAGAGACGGTGGCACGAACAAGGTGGATACAACTATTAGACGTAGAACCAGAACAAATTGGAGAGGCACTGAGGAGGTGCTGGGAACAGTTGAAGTTGATTCCCTGCCAGAGGCAGGCTTCCACCAGTGGCTGCTATCAATGGTAGCAACGCCGTCGACAGTATGGTTAACGGAACATGGAGTGAAGGTAGACTTGATATGCACTAGATGTCAATGGGCTTTCGAGTCAACAGTGCACCTGTGGTGGGACTGTCCGGCGTCGGCTAGAGTATGGAAGTGGTGCGGGAAGCTCTGGGAAGAATGCACAAGGGGCTCATTCCCGTGGACGAAGACATGGACTTTGCTGGGAGGAGTCCATGAGAAGTTCAAAATCTCAACAGGATGGGGCTATGTCGCTCAAGTGGCACGAGTGGTGGGGTGTGCGGTAATTTGGCAAGAAAGAGACGACAGAGTGTTTAGAGGAAAAAAATGGACAAACAAACATATGAGCATGAGTTTCGCTCGGTTACTGAGAAGGGCGATACTGGCAGACTGGAGAAGAAAGGTCAGCAAAGGAGGAAACAGAGAAGCAGGAATCAAATGGTTTGAGGATACATGGGGGATAGGTGGTAAGATGACCAAGATAGAATCCGGGAGAGTGGTACTAGGTGACTGGTTCACAAAAGAGTTGCGTTAGATAGAAGAGAGGAACAACGACCTGAGCACTCGGTCGGCAGGCTTTGGAACAGTTGCTGGAGACAGGCAGAGGGAAAGAAAGTGGAGGGAGTGCCGGAACGCTATCCGTCGAAGATAGACGGCATAGTAGGACATAGAAACAGTAGGATAGATCTAGGGGAATGAGGGGTAGAGCTCTGTGGGTTGTTCAGTTTTTTCCTTTTGGATTGTTTGGCTTTGGTGGCCCTGGAGGCAATTTTATTTACATAGCTCAGAGTGGGAGTATCAGGACAGAGGTCTTTTGGACTGGGACTGTTCCTAGTTTAAAGTACCCCCCTGAAGCCTAAGCTAAGCTGGCTGATGCTGTCAGTATGTTCATCCAGGGTGAATTGTGAGGGTCCCTGGCCTCGTTGGAACAATTTTAATAAAGTGCTTGGTTTAAAAAAAATAATAATAAAAAAAAGTTCCCACTATTCTTGTCGAGATGATCCAAAATTAGTCTTCCTTCCTTTTTGGGAAAGACGTGTAGTTTAAGGAGGATGCAGACCATACTTGCGGCACATTTGTGTGCAGCGCCATGTGCACATGGCTGGTGCGCGCGCACCGCCCGCATGGCGCATAGGTGCGCTATATGCGCATGCGCTATGTGCATGTGCACACTACTCATGCGCCGTGCGCTGATGCTCGCGCACCTGCGGGCCATGCACTAGGGTGGTGCGCCAGATGCGCTGCCTTTTTATTTGTTTTTTTTGGGGGGGTGCTTCCACCACCCGTTTGAACTTCGACTCATCGGAAAGGTTCCCTCTCTCTCTCTCTCTATCCATCTATCTATCTATCTATCTAGCAAACAATTTAAACATTCTTAGAAATTTCAACAAACAAAAAATGGTGGTCAGCCCTTCCTCCTTGTCATCTCTCTCTCTCTCTCTCTTTTCATGTCGTCAATGAGCTGCTTCGGCAGAGTGGCCGCAGCTGTCACCTGCATCACCGAGAAGGCCACAACAGAAAATGGTGGCTGTCACCTGCATCACCGAGAAGGCCACAACAGAAAATGGTGGTCAGCCCCTTGAAGGAAAACCCTCTCCCCTCGTCCAGATCCACCACTCTCTCCTCTAATCCCCCTCGGCTATGCAACATTCCAGCGGGCATTAAAAAAAAAAAAAAAAAACGACGAGTAAATCGAATTGTGGAAAAAAAACATTCCAAAAGGAGTAGGAAAAAAAGAACTGCAAATGCCAAATTGATATTTGTAATTTGGAACGGATGGCAACTAGAAGGAGAGATGGGTGGAGAGAGAGGGAGGAAGGAGGAGGGACAGATGGATGAAGAAGAAGGGAGAAAGGAGGAGGGAGAAAGGGAGGAGGGAGAGATGGACGAAGAAGAAGGGAGGAGGGAGGAGGGAGAAAGCAAGGGAGAAGGAAAGAGGGAGTAGTGAGTCGACATGTGGAGGGAGAAAGGGAGGACGAAAGAGGCGGGAGAAGTGAGGTGCTGCGTGGAGGAGGGAGAAAGGGAGGAAGGAGGAAAGGAGGGAGAAAGGGAGGAAGGAGAGAGGTAGAGATAGACGACGAAAGAGGGGAGAGGAGGAGGGAGGAAGGAGGAGGGAGAGATGGACGAGGAAGAAGGGAGAGAGGAGGAGGGAGAACGGGAGGAAGCGGGAGGGAGAAAAGGAGGAAAGAGGGGGCAGCGAGTCGAGTCAGTCGACGTGTGCACGATGGGAGGGGTGGAGGTGTCACGCGGAGTGAAAGGCCCTGTCGCTAACGTAACAAGGGCAAAAAAAAAAAAGAAGAGGTGATTGGATGGTGAAGTGTTCGAAGGACAGATGGATGGAGAGCGAGGGAGGAAGGGGGAGGGACAGATGGATGAAGAAGAAGGGAGAAAGGAGGAGGGAGAAAGGGAGGAGATGGACGAAGAAGAAGGGAGGAAGGAAGAGGGAGAAAAGGAGGAGGAAAGAGGGAGTAGCGAGTCGAAATGTGGAGGGAGAAAGGGAGGAGGAAAGAGGAGGGAGAAGTGAGGTGCTGCGTGGAGGAGGGAGAAATTGAGGAAGGAGAGAGGTACAGATAGACGGCGAAAGAGGGGAGAGGAGGAGGGGAGAGGAGGAGGGAGGGAGGAGGAGGGAGAGATGGACGAGGAAGAAGGGGGAGGAGGAGGGAGAAAGGGAGGAAGGAGGAGGGAGAAAGGAAGGAGGAAAGAGGGGGCAGTGAGTCGAGTCAGTCGACGCGTGGAGGATGGCAGGGGTGGAGGAAAGGCCCTGTCGCTAACGTAACAAGGGCAAAGAAAAAAAGGTGATTGGATGGTGAAAGGACAGAGACAGGAGGAGAAGGGAAGAGCGGAGAGAGAGAGAGAGAGAGAGAGAGAGAGAGAGAGAGAGAGAGAGAGAGAGAGAGAGAGAGAGAGNAGAGAGAGAGAGAGAGAGAGAGAGAGAGAGAGAGAGAGAGAGAGAGAGAGAGAGAGAGAGAGAGAGCTGGTGGCAACCCACCTCAAGCGGCTCGGTGATTCCTCCTCCCTCCTGCTGCCTGCTCCAGCTGCCTCCTGCTGTGTGCTGCTGCCTGCTGGCTGCTGCCTGCTGCTGCCTGCTGCTGCCTCCTGTTTCTTGCTCGGGCTGGTGTTGCTGGTGACGGGCGGATACGACCGACGACGAACGACGACGAAAACGGACCACACGACGGCCACCAAGGCGACAAGGCACAACTGCCGGGTGGATGAAGTGCCGGGGTGCCCAACGGCGGAGTTGGGGAGGCCTGAGTAGTTCGTTTTCTCAGATCTCCCGCCAAAATTTTTACCGGGTCTCCGCGTGGCCCGAATTTGTTTTTTCACGCCCACGTAGGCAATTTCCCCCGTTACACCTCTGGGCCTCCCCCCCCCCCCCCGAACTTTTTTTTTTCTTTTTCCACAACCCCTGTTTTGGCCGATGCGCCGCATGCCGTGTGCGCGCCGGCTGCGCTCAGTGCTCTGCGCCACACGTGCCGCGACGCCACGCACGGCATGCGCCTCAAGTATGATGCAGACTATCGAATAGTAATTATGTTATGCCATACTCACTCGAGCACATTTTTGGACATGATTTATTGGTCGTAATTTCAGTCAGATAAATCCAGTTCCAGCGATAATTGCGGTCAGATACATCAGGTCAAGTCCTATTGCCATCGTCACCTCAATAGAACGCCCGGTCATTATCCCTGTATCTAGACTAAAATTTGCCCCAAATACAGCCATAATGATCAGGCGTTCTATGTAGATGAATCTGGCAGTTGTGATATGCTCTCAGGAACCCCGTTTTTCCACTTATTCACATGGCTTCAGACCGGGACGTAGTGCTCACACGGCCCTTAATGTTTGGAATAATGGGTACCTTTCATGGTGCACAATGGTATATTGAAGGATCCCTGGAGTCCGAAGGCCCTGAAGCCGTAAATCATGGAACACTGTACTGTATGATCATCCGGCGAACAATCCGAGACAAACGGATTCTCAAACTAATCCGCTCCACTCTGGACTACACAATTTTTTATTCATATGTCACACGGAGAGATTGAAGAGGCGACCATAGGCGCTGCCAGGCGGCAGCCCTTCAGATAGAAGGGAAGGAAAGAATGAACTCTACCTGCGTTGAACTTGTGTGAATTTTGACTGACCACCTGGGTTCTCCATGGTGAATGGGATTTGTGCAGGGGTTGACAGAGACTGGAGATCTCCGAATGACAATGAAGGTTTTTAACTGGATGAAAAATCAACGGTGTTATAGGGCACGGAATGACATCTACAACATGTTGATTGATTTGAGTGCCAAATGTCATCGTCTCGAGCATGCACGGGGCTACTTTAATGAGATGAAAGAATGGAGGTGCTTCTACCTTTCCTATACATCCTTCTCTTCTTATTCCTCTTTGCCTTTTCTTCTTCTTCTTCTTCTTCTTCTTCTTCTTCTTCTTCTTCTTCGTCTGCTTCGTCTTCTTCTTCTTCTTTTTCTTTGAATGTGCGCGTTTGAGCTTGCTGATGTCTGAGCCGGTGTCATGGTGGATGACATTGTTTCTGTGCTTGGATGGGTAATAATGATTGGCCTCGCTATTCTCACTTCAATTCAATCCTCAATTCCCCTTCTTTGCTTTCTTCTTCCCACCATATTCACCTGAATACCCATCCGTCCTACAATGGCACAAGACAAATCAACAATGCGATGAAAGAGATCTGACGGCTAAGAGTCGACGAGAATTCCGTCCAAGCAGCAGTTGACAATGAAGCTGGTGGAAAAAAGGGAGAAACGGAAGCAAAGAGGCATCAAAGAAAGAAAAACGAATAGCAAAATTATGAAAAAGGCTGCGGCCAGCAGGGTGGCCCCCGGAGAAAGGCCATGGTTGGGGGGGGGGACCCCCCTTTTGCAGCTCCCCCCTTGCTAGGGGGCTAGCGCCACAAGGGTTTAGACCGTTCCCCTTCTCTAATCTGATCTCCCCCCTTCTTTGGATGTACAAACATGCTTGCCAGTGATAAGCAACTGGACTGTTGCCCCCGAGAACAGAAGGGACCATTATGTTTAAAAAATAAAATAAAATAAAAGAAGAAAAAGGAATAGCAGACATAAACATCTGTCCTACAGTGGCACGGGGGAAATCAACAATGTGATGACAGAGATCTGACGGCTAAGTGTCGACGAGCATTCCGTCCGTCCAAGCAGCAGTTAGCAAAGGTGGTGGTGGAAAAAATGTGAAACAGAAGCAAAGACACGTCAAAGGAAGAAAAACGAGTAGCAAATTTTTGAAAAAAGAATAGCAAATTTATGAAAAGGGAATAACAAATGTATTCAGACGGAATGGATACTGTCACATCCGGCCCACATGTCCATCTGTGGCCACATCGTTCGGACAAAACGCATAGCTGGTAAGCTTTTGAAAAGGCCACGTATTTTTCACATCATCTATTGACTACCATCTTCACCCGAACAGAACCGCCGGTCATTGTATAGCTGGATTTAGTGCAACTTTTAGTCTATATACACTTATAATGACCAATGCAATGACTCTTTGACTGACTGGGACACATGGGTGTGCATTTGATGGTTGTGGTTGATTAGCTCAGGTGTAAACCGGATATCAATTCATGGAATGCTTTAATAAATGCGCACACACAAATGTCGGATTATGCGGGTGCTTACCGGACATTTGAGGATATGATGAGGTGGGAGGTACGCATTAACCCAAAACCTGAACCCTTAGCCTAAACCTAAACCCTTAACCTGAACTTAAAACCGACTCGTAACCGAACCCCTTGGCCTCAACCCTAAGGGGAAATTGTTAACCTCAATGCTATCCCTTAGCAGAAACCCCAAACCCTAAACTTGAATCCTGAACGTCAACCCCAAACCTCAACCGTGAACCAAAATTCTTCTGAATTTAAGGCCCCAACCTTAACCCATACTGTAAATATGATCCTGAGATCAAACCCGCATCCAAACTTTAAAGTCAAACGAATAAAAAATGTGGACCTAAAAAAAATGCTTAACGACAGGGTGGCTGGCGTTCGGGCCAGGCTGAACGCCTGAACCCGAACACCTGAACGTACGGGATCCCTTGGGGATGCATTCAGCCGTTCAGGCCGAACGCGGACCCAAAAAAAAAAAAAAAAAAAAACTTAAAAAAAGCTGAAAAAGAAATATTTGTTATGCAGGAAAATGAAATAAACAACAGTTGCCTGAGCAGTACATCCAAATTCCTTACCAAATTCGAAATAAAAATAAAATGCAGAAAATAAATACTAATAAGAAAAATAAGAAAAAATAAAAAGAGAAATTAGCATGGTAACCCCGGACCCAGACACCGGACACTTCCGGACTGTCTTCCGGACCAGTGTCTGGACCGGTCCGGATGGTCCGGTGATCCGGACATCACCGGACACCGGACAGTCCGGACCGGTCCCCGGGG